TTATAGGTTTATGAGCTTCCACTGCTTTCTTGCATGGATATATACATCTAAAAATCTTGGCAACTTTACCACTGGGGAGAAGGTTGGCTTCAGAACACTACTGAGGTATGTAAAGTCATAACCAATTAGCACTGTATAGCTGCTTCAGGAAGACACAGTTATTCTGGGACAGGCCACCAAACAATTGTTTTCAGAAAAGGAAAAATAGGAAATGTATTCTCTCAAAAGTGCAGGAAAACTGGAATGGAGCACAAGATAGCCTGCAAACATGGATGGTGGCTGCTCTATTGCAGTGCTTGTGTAACAGTCTTGGCACTCAGACTAGATGACAGGGAACAATTGCTCACAGTGGGATATCCAAAGAATTAGAAAACAGACATTTCTAGTGGTATATTTTCTTCATTCACCTCTTACTACTGGGCAATGTTTTATATAGTGTATTTATTTACTTACTTTTTCAAGTGACATTTTTAATTTATGCAAATGACATACAACTGGTTAAAGTAAATAATTATACTGACTCACAGCACAAGAAAGAATGACTATGACCTGCTCCTGTACAATACACACTGGAAATGAATACCTAAAATAACAAAAAAAAAAAAAAAAAAAAAGCCATGTGAATCCCAAGCAGTTAATTGCATCAGCCAACATATCTCCAAGGAGTGAAGGCCAGGAAGTAAGAGCTGGAAAGTAGGCATGCATGTGTGGACTTTGCCAATGGACTACCTAGAACAAAATTATCTAGAAGTTAAGTCTGAAAATGTCACAAAATTCTGCACGAAATGTAGTGATTAGCATCTGTTTAAAGTGATGGAAAAGGATCACAGCAACATATTATGTGCAGTTACAGATCTGAAAGCAGAAAGCTACAGAGATAATATCAACAGAAGTGCAGCACTAGCAAATGATAACACTGTGTCGTTATTAGATAAATTCCAAATTATAACAAAAGCATTTATCTGAATTAAACAGGCAGACAAAGATTCTGAACAGGAAAGAACGGTACTTTGAATGCTACACAACAGAGTCAGAAATATTTCTTGAAATATTTATCTTTGTAAGGGGAATCCTTGCAAGAAAGTTGCTCTTGCTCATTTTGTCAAACAGCAGCTTGCCTCTAGCTACACACAGCAGTTTACAGTCACATAGCTCCCCTCTACACACCTGAAGGAGCTTGTATGTGGGACAGCAGCATAAGCATGTTTAATGTGAATACCTCTGCTAAATCAGACCAAGTTTCTGCAAACATCTATAACGAAAATTTTAAAATAGACTTCGAAACAGCTTCTTACATAAATTTTAGTGAGGTACTATCAATTCCTGTAACAGAATCTGCAGTATTTATGTACAACAGGAAGGAGACTTTTACATTCAAACAGCAGGAGGCAAGGTATGTACATGACCCTGGGCAAGAGATGTTTCACACCTTGCTGTACCTGAGTTCCCACATCTCTGAAACTGAGGGCAGTTCAGCTGGAAGAGGCCCTGTGAAGCTAAATTCACCAGTGTCAGAAAATCCCTGTTTCCCCTCTAAGCAAACACAAGTTATTCTTAATGTGTAAAATACTGCAAAAATACATTGAGTCTGTCCCCTGTAATTGTAGTTAGAAACACAACAGTAATCTCCAGAATCCTTCTGTAGGCATAACATCTACAAGACTGGCTTATTTTACATTCTGGGTGCTTATTTAGATAAATGTTCTACAGAACCTCTGCATTCCTAGGATTTGGTGTTCACTCCAGGTAGTAATGTAAATTTTTTCTGTCATGATTATACTTTATGTCTTACCCCAGGCATAATAATCTTCTCTATATCTCCAAAGATGTTGTCCCAGCTGTCTGGGTCCATTGGGGCAGAATCCGGCAAGTGGGCTCTCATGTAACCGGGCTGTACATCAGGAGTCACCCGTCTCTCTCTCACATTGCTCAGGTACTGGCAGATGTAATCCACCATCTCTTTCCCTGGAAGAGGCAAACCAGTGCTTTGAGTTTTGACTGCACAAAAACTAACTCGTACTATTAGCACTTCACGCTAGTAGTATGAGTCACTAGCATTGGACAGGGCTTGGAACACGGCTCCTGAGATAGACACAGGAACTAGCCTTCCTCCTACACCCTGCTTGGCCCGTCTAATAACGTAGGGACACAGCTTCCAGAACAGGCTGCATGGGGACAGAACAGCTTCACAGGGTTATTTCAATGTTGTCACTGAATAGTTCAAATGTACCTTTAAAGTGCGATCATGGTACAAGCACAGTTTGATTACTGAGAGGACAGACAGATCTTCTCGCCTACGGATTAACTGAAACTGCATTTCACAGAAATTAAGTTTTCACAATGCCCCATGCTTCCCTCTCATTATAGCAGACCCCCTTTTGCATCCGCTGAAAACAGCTGCACAGCTCCACAGCTTTTTTCCACTTTTTAGGAAATTTCCTCCAGCCCTGGGACCAAAGTCTGCTCTCCATCTCCAGAACTGTGCCAGTATGACTGCCGTTTCATGGTGTCGGCCAGGGAAGAGCCACTGTACAGAACTACAGTTTTGCAGCTTTCCCACAGTATTTTAAATGTAAGATGAAAAAACTTAAGTCATCCACTGACTCTAAATCCATTAATTTAAGCTCAACCTTGGGATACCTTTTTTGGCTCAGCCTCAGCAGATTTAAGTCTCAAGGACATGTGTGCAAATAAAAAGTATATAAGCCCATCCTAATTTTGGGTACCACTCTCAGCCCTACAACAGTTAATCTCTGTGCAAATGCTACCTATTTCCAAGAGCAGAGGATCACTCACCTCTCCGTCTGTACTCTTCAGGCTCCATAATGATTCCTTCTAAAAGCACCTCTTCAAACTTGGGCTGCGACCCTTCAGGAGCTGTGGGCAGTTTGGTCTGGTTCCCTGCTAGCTGCTTCACCCTTTATAGCTCCCTTTATCTCTCAGACTCATGCATTCTGGAAAAGGTTTAACGTAGGCAGGTTATTGGTGAGTGTTTATCTAACTCCTCCCAACTGAGAGCTTTTACAGTCTCTACTATGTTCTCATCTGTGCTCTTTTGATGTGTAAGATAGTGTATCTGTAAGAGGAGCTGCCTCTGCACTAACCCTTTCCAATTTTCAAACAATGTTTCAGAAGTCTCACAGTAATCCATGTCATGAATATAAGACACATTAACATCAGACTTGGAGAGAGAAAGCTCAAGAGCTTCCAAAAGCAAATAAAAGCTGCCATGTTACTCTAGTACACTGAACTACTGCACTAGCAGTATTTCCTAGAACAAGGCATCATCACATTAATGAATTTGACAGTGCAGGCAGGGACTTTTTTTCTTTTTTAAAGAACTGCAGGACTGTGTTTTCCTAAGAGAGTAAAACCTGCATTCCCCCAAGTTTTCAGTCTCTATGCTGTCAATCCCTTGCTGCTAGAAGGAAAGGCACTGCCAATATTGCCAGTTCCAGAACTGCAATACAAAGCAGCAATGATCCTCTCTGTGGATTTCCTGCCCCTCCAGATCAGACCAGGTTACGCTGCAGGGTGATGTTCCTCCACTGATATCACCCTCGACTGCCGAGCTGGGACCTTTCCCCACCACCACCATGGCTTCCTTTTCTCACATATGATATGCATAAGCACTGCAATTTGGCCTTGCATCTCCAGAATTCCTCCAAGTGCTCCACCTGAAGTGTTCCCCGTTTGGAAGAACAGCTGTGGAGATTCCCCCTTGGTCCAGTTTTAGGACCTGTAAACACATCCTGACCTATCTTTGGCAGCATGGCCTTTGACACCGTACTCAATGTTGAGTGCTTATCAACTTCCCCAGAAGGAACTCACTCGCTCTCCACTGATACCAGGCAGCCCTGGGAAAAGAGAGAAGTAGGACTTATGGGCTAAGCACCAGAAAGAGAAATTATTATATAGTACAGTATATGCTTGCCTTATTTTTGTAATTCCCTAAGATCTTGCTTAGGGCTGGCCCTGTTGGGAGAGCGGGTACCAGGCTGGGCAGACCCTTCATCTGATACATGACACCTCACCATACAGAAAAGAACTGGCTGTCAGAGCAGCTTTGATTTTCTGCCTCGTGTACTATAATGCAACCTATATGCTTTCATTAGTCTAGAAAGTTGTTACATCTTTCTCCACAGTGTACTTTCTACAGAACAGTGTGAAAACCTTTTCTGGTTTCTGCTGCGATTAGATATTTGAGAAAGAACTGTTTCATAGATATGACAAAGATGCTCTGATACACACGTATCAGATTAATATACTGAAATTAAAAAAAAAAAAAGGCATTGAAAGAAGTGTAAGAAGTGCAGAAGAACCATACTATATGCATATTCATCTGTTTTACCTCACATTTCTCTGGAAACATTAGGAAAAAAATACAAGCTGCCCACACACTTAATTTATGAACCTCTCTTGGCTTTACTGTAAATGCTACCATAAAGGGGAACGAAGAAGGTAAGAAGGGACTGGCATCAAGCACAGGACCAACTCGGAAAGCTCTGAGTTCCCAAAAACTGTAATTCTAGCTCATTACAAGTAACTAATACGTTAATATATGGATGTCTGTTCAAAGAAAGTTGGTAGCTAATTACATTTATGATTTCCATTTGGAACAGCAAATAAGGAGCAATATTTTTAACAATGCTTTCAGAGCTAAACTACACAATAAATATTTCATGTGACATATACCCTACGCCTTTGCTCAAAGGTGGTAGTTTCATCAGGTTGGTTTCTCATTCTGTGCAGAAGAGAACAAACAGCAGGTCCTGTTCGGAACTAGAATAAAATAGGTGATAATGAATTACAGTTAGGGTAAATATTGCTGGTGATAAATAAATTTTTGTTATAGCTACCTTGCACTAGGAAAGATTTTGTTACAGACAATGAGGAATAGAATATTTGCTCACAGGAAGCAGAATGAATAGAAAAGGTTCTTTTCATTGTTTGTTACAAAGGTCTGTGCCGTCAAAACCGTGGGAAATTGTCCATTTGGACATGAACATTAGCACTATCACTACTCAGACTAATGCTGAAATTCTTATCGTTATTAAGAGTTCACAGAGATTAAACTGCAGTTAAGTTTGTGGGATGTGTGGACGCAAATGTTATTTTGATCACAGAATAATTCAATTGGAGCAATGCTTAACCAGCACATTTAACTTGACTCACTGGTTCCTACATTCACTAGTGACATAATGGGTAATTTCTGAAAAAGATCTAAAATATAGCAGTTTCTAATCACTGCACAAGTCTTCCTTCAAGTCCTAGTACCAGCTGAGCACGATTATATCCTTGAAAATAATTCTTCTAAAAACTACCACCACATAATTTTCCATTTTTTATTATATTTTGATTATTTTGGTGTCAAATCTGCCAACTGGGATCAAATTTGCCAAATTTATACCAATACTTGGATATTTAGGATTTTTTCCTAACTGCCAATTCTATGAACTCAGATCAAAGTTTGAAGAAGGCTTTACATTGTATTTTATAACATAATTCTTTCCCCACTCCTCCCTCCTACCTTTGAAGCCCATTCTAAGCCCAAACTGGTTTTTCATACTTGTCTGAATGCCTAACACAGCAGAGCTTTGACCTTCTAATGCACATACAAAACTATTGAAATGGAATTGATTCTACACTATATATATATATGTGGAAAAGATATTTAATCGTAAAATAGAAAAAGTAGGCCAGAGTACAGTTTTAAGGGTAATTCTTCTGTGTACAGTATAGGTAAACTAGACTTTTTGCTTAAGTTTATATAAACAATTCCATAAAAGCAGTGAAACATGGAACAACAAAGCAAAGCACAAGGAGTTTTATCTTACAAAAAAGGAATCTGCACAGTAGTTCAAAATTTAATGTAACACAGCACTGAACAATCTTAAGGCAGCTCAGTCTAAGCACAGGACTAGAAGCCAGGAACTCCTGAGATCTATTCCCAGGTCTACCACAGATTCATGTGGTCTTGGGCCAGTCGTTTAACACTCCCTGTGTTGCACTTATACCAGTTATAAAATTGAGACAGTAACACTCACTTACCTGCCTCAGGCAGTACAGTAAGTGTTCTTTAAAAGATTTTACAATGCTCTGAAGATGAAACGTGCTATATAAATCCTAAGCATAATAGATCACTGCACAGACACACACAAACACAGTATCACAGTGAATAACAATGATGCTAGGTAAGAAGAGCATCACTATAATGTAAAAAAAATTACCTGCCCGACTGCATAATTAAAATGCAAAAGTCCATTTAGAAAAAAATGAATCACTGAAATGATTTCAAGGCTATTGGGGAGAAGATCAATAGGAATATTCTAGAAGAAATGCTATTTGTGTTCCAGTGGAGACATTCTTTTCTATTAATTACTGAACTTTAAAACGTTTGCACAGGAAAATTATAAGACACACAAAGTGAAGTTTCAATGCCTCCACTACCAAATTTTAAATTGCCCCTAATGTGTAAATTAAATGTTTTTTGTTCAATTACGAATTACATTCCTCCAAGAAATATACCATCCACAATAAAACTGGCTGCTAGATTACTTCAAAGGACCTATAGGCTAAACGTTTTTTCTCATAATTTTTCTCATCTTTGCTGAAAAATACCTATGCAAGATGTATGTGTAGAAATTATAAAAACATGCAGCATATGTACAAACTGAAAAGTTTAAAAAATATTAGCTTCATATACATGTAAATCTACTTGGATATATCTGAAATTAAATATAAAAATTTCACCACCTAAAATAAAAAAAAAACAAAAATGGTTTTCAGAGAATCTGAGACAACTACTTAAAGCTGTACAAAGATTTCCACCTGGAAATGTCTTATTCAGAGAAATTTAAGTTGTTACCATGTAGAAATAACTGTTAGTTAATTTTGTCACATAATTAATTTTTAAGTTGTCATCTTAAATCAACAACATCACCCTTAAAACTGTTCTGTTTTTCAGAAGTTAGATTCATACTAAAATCAAAAATTTCACAAAAACATTGGCTTCTCGTGTTTCTGGATCCCTTCAAAAAGATTTATCAACTCATTTTGAAACTGTAAAAAAAACAACTATTTACAGTATTTCATTTTAAATACTTTTCACAATTTCTAAATTCAGAGTTTTTATGTTACAAGAAATTCAGAGCTCACGGCTTAAGTCCAGTTATCAACTTGTAGCATCTTCTCTATCATGTAATCCTGTGTCTGTACCTATATAGTGTACAGTTCAAGATTGTACTGCAGGTTTTTGAAAGTAACAGGCTTTGCAGTATGTTCATTTTTTATTAAACAGCTTCTTTATTAGTCTGGAGGCGGTTCATTGCCTCTAACTTCTGCCGATAGGCCTCTGCTTCTTGTTCTTTCTTTAGAAGCTGCTGACGGTATTTTTGTGCTTCTCTGTTTGCCTCATCCAGCTGTTTCTGAAGAGTTTCTCTTTCCTATTAGAAACAGAACCAGCAATATTTTGTCAAATATGTATCAAAGACAAGTTAAAATGGCAAATACTTTTTTCCTTTACATGCAGCTCAAGTATCAGGGTATCGTGTAGAAACTGTTCAGTTCTTACTCAGGCAAGCCTATACAAATGCTGCTGTGTAAACCAGACATGAACTATCACACCAGACAAGTCCCCACAATAAAGCTCGAAGTGCAAACATACTAAACCCAAGTTTCTTTAGCTGCAAAGACACCAAGCAAGTCTTCATGGAAAAAGAGGGAATTAAAAAAGTGGAAGCATGGTGATCAAATACTAACATACTATAATAACATTTCTTCAACAATTCAATTCTCTTTGTTACTTTTTAAAATTGGATTCCAATCTAACAGGGTTGTTCATTTCTGTTGTACTTCTAATCCGACAGTATAATGAAAAACTGTTACCTAACAGCAGTTTGCACTGGAAAGTGACAGCTGCCCACTAACCAAAACATAAGCATTAACTGGTTACTAAATGAAGATATCTGAAGTGATTAATACTGTGCAATCCAGAGGTGTAATTCCATCCCCAAGGACACCCCATTTTTATGAATTAACAGGCATTTAACTAGGTAAGCTTTTTCAATTCAAAAGGAGTAACTTAAGACTCCATCCAAGTTTGTTGGAGATGGTTATAAAATGGTTTCCAAGCAAAATAATACAGGAGATGCCACTTCCTATGAAGCTGCCTTAGGAATTAGGGAGAATGTATTTCTGTCTCCAGTGACGTCAGTACTGTGATTTAGTTTGATGCTGCACTGAGACCAATTGAAAAAGCAATTTGCTCGGAAAGTAGTTCTGTTTTGATCTTCCACCAAATACCATTTCATTGAAGTGCATCATACTTTTATGAGTAAGATAGTATCTGATTTCAAATCATTCTTTCCATTGTAGTTGTTAAGTAGCCACAGGAGGGACGTTGTCAGAGAAGTAAGTGATCTCCCAGAAAAACAAAACTTATCAGTGAAAATAAGTTGCCTTTTCACCTTATTCCCATCCCAGCAGTTCAGTATCACATTCCCATCTAATACCTCACAGTTGTTAGAAGTTGCTCCCCCCACACCCGCATAAGAGCATCCCTATTCTTCACCTCTTTGATGCACTCACATATTTTCATAGTCAGAGCCTGAAAATACAAAATACTCTGCCTCCCTCCTACTTGCTACTGTTCTCAGTACTTGTCACAGTCACATTTAGCAGTCACATGCTGTGCTGAATGTGCTGGAATATAATGACAGAGGTGATCAGACCATTGCTAACAGCAGCATCTGTATAGTAAAAAACAACAAGGGAAGGAGAGATGTTATTAACACATTATAAAGACTAGCTATAATATGGAACAGAGCAAACTCCATTAAGTGCAACTTTATTTTACACAGGGCTTTAAGAGCTGAAGGAAGCTGGCTAGGGTTTGCTTCATTTGAAGCATATGCTAATAGAATGAGAGCTCATATGATCTTGCTTAATTATTTGAAAAGGAGGTTCAGCTTCCACCTCTGGAAATTTGGATTCTGCTTTTTAACTTTACAAATAGCCAACTCATGTAGCAACTAGACTAATGAATGACAAATGAATGACAGACCCTCAAAGGACCTGAAATACACCAAAGATGTTCCAGCACCAGTCCTACCAAAATATGTTGTTATTTCTGAGAGGGATCTATGTAGTGTAAGGGGAGCCAACAGCTTACAAGACAATTCTCAGGGAAGCAGTCAAAATGATCCTGCTGCATGCAGAAAGCAAACTTTCCCTCTTGAGGACACTGAGCTCTGGGATATACTGTGCTGGGCATTATTTACCTCATGAATATGTCACATAAAAACCATCAGAAATCTAATACTAGCAAGAAGCAAAGCTGCTCTATCCACTGGGCTGTAGAAGAATGGGAAACACCAGTGGCTCACTGGCCAGTGGTTCTGCAGAGCATTACAAAAAGCAAGGCACTACCACTATTGCAGAGTGCGTGCAGACTGCGAACACTTGGGAGTGAAGAGGTTCTCGGATCACACCTTAGGAGTATTTCCCAAAGATGAGAGAAATAGAGCCGTGTACCCATAAGGAATATACCAGACAGACTAGCAATTCAAACTGTGTAGATTAGTCCAACAACTAACAGGTGTAGTTTTTAGACAGTTATAGTCCTAACGTAAACAAAATGAATTAAGGAACGGAGGCCAAGTATACTGTCTAACTAGGCAGTGCAAAGAAACCAATGCTTCTGGAGCAGCAGTGCAGATCTACAGCAGACTGAACAGTGAACACTGCTTCCTTAACTCTTACATCTAGAATAGGAAGGAATATATCTCATCTATTAATTTAATCAAATCCAGAAAGCGTTCCTAGGGCATTCTTTAGAACACAACTGAAAGGGTTCTAATTATCTGAAGTCCTTTTGTATCAGTATAAAAACCTATCCAGGCAAAAAATGTATTAGAGGATACTAAGTGCTCTTAAGAAATCTTCTGTTTGATCGGGAAATTTTCTTCATTACATGGAACTTTTCTTAAATCTTTCTATATATTGCCAATACGGACATCCATAACTAAAATAACCAAACCAAGCATTCTTTTTAACAGGAAAAAAAAGGGGATATGAATTCACTAATATAATTAATTTACAATTATGATGATTTTATTAGTCTAATGAAATTACTGTCCTGGTTCTAATGTGTGTCACCTTTCAAACATGAAACATGGAAAAAAACAGTCAGAGACGAGAATAAAAATAAAAATCACTGTATGTTAATGAATTATGCATGAAAATGAAAAACAGAGTATCTGGGTGACAGGGGTTTTTTTGCTGCCATCCTATGTTGAAATTATCAAACTGTTTAGGAAAACTGCTATCACTGTTCAAAATGGGCTGAAATGTTTGAACTTAACAACCCGAAAGAGAAAAATAAAAAAACACCACTACAGCTTTAGTTATTTACAATACTTTCACAGGAAGGTTTGTCACCTCACATGACTAGTAGGGTGTTCCACTTTAAGACTTTCAAACTACAGTTAACTGTCCATACACTATGTATTTAAAACAGCTGAAGAAAGCACTCTTCACCTTGAAGCAACTCTTTATAAAGAAATAAAGGAATGAATCATAAGTGAGGTGAAGAAACCAAACAGTAAAAGTTGTCTACGTCTAAAAAATATTTTAATGAGGGGAAGGGTCCTACTCCCTCCAAATTCACCTACCACCTTCTATGATGATGAAGTTTGAAGTGACTTCTTTGACTTTATATGCACTTCTTTGATGTCCTTGTTACCAAAATGAGGTAGCACCATAATCCTGTGAACCACAGTAGGGTTCCTGAAGTCAACTGGCCTCCACACAGAGGCAGAGGTCTGCATGTGCATCTCCAGTTGTACAGACCAGACAAAGTCAGTCATTAAAACTTGCACTTTAAAGTAACTGATAAAGTAACTCGTTTAAACCAACTGCTTTTGATACTTGAGAAATGTGTTTAAAATATATAATTGAAACTGGTAATCCCCTTAAAATAATTATTTGTACTGTTATACCAACTGTCTGTAATTAGGAATAGGTCAATTTATTCCTTAACCAATCTAGATATTTTTTCCTTCATCTAACAGAATTATTAAAATAATTAAGGAAACATAATTTCCTTTACGAATAATTCAGGCAGATGTTTTAAAGTGTGAACAAAATAAATGCTTTTATTGTAACAGTCATACATTTTAAAAAAATGCAGCAAGAAAATTTCAACTGTCATGATAATCTGTAATGACCACAAAGCTGCGAAGGCTGAAAGTAATTGATGTGACAACTTAGGGACAGGGAAAGCAAATGATGAAAGATGGTAATTGTTATTAAACATGGATAACATAGCACATACTGTACAACAAAAAGTATTCAATTAGGCACAATTCGATAATATGGACAGAAGTTGGAGAATACAACCTTGAATAAATGAAATATCATGGAGTTGACAAAATGAAAACTTACAGCCTAGTCAAGGCAGACAGCAATTTTCATAAACTTTTGACCCAAACTGTTCAGCACAGTTAGAAGTAACAGAAGGATAAATGAGATGGTCAACCTATTGGAGCTAATATAAAAAAAGCTACAATTTTAAATTGAACAGCTACATCTACTTGTCATATATAAAATGAAAAGCTCTCTGTTGTTAGATCTTCCACACTATAATTTAAAAAAAAAAAAAAAAAAAAAAAAAAAAAAAAAAAAGACAGATAAAAATTTACAAACACAGAATCTTACTGTTTCACATTTCCATTAGCGGTTATCTAGATATCATGAATGGAAAGGAAACATTGCTAAAAATATGATCTCACAATCAGGACAAGCATGTGGTCCTAACAGAAAGATGAGTGTACAGTACTCTCATTCACTGCTAGCAGAAAGAGTCAAGTCACTCAATAATACATCAGTACCTAGTTGTAAAAACCAGATAGCGATCTTGAAGGAAAAACAAAGAAGTTATCACATACTAAACAAGTGCCACTTTTATGTGCACAACAAGAGGATGAAGCAAACATCCCTCCTATATTCTTTTTACAACAACTTTGTAAAAGATGAATTCCAGTAACAGGAGAGAAAGAACAAGTTCTTGTTTCACACACTTCATTCTGTTGTAACACAGAAATTAAACTCTAGAACACAAAAAACCACAGCCAGATGCTCAGTGCTGAACACTCTGGTTAACACATATCACGTAATACACTCCTTACTTCTATTTCTGCAGACTCCACACGATTTTCAACAATCTCAATGCACTGTCTCTTCACTGGTGGTTCTTCACTTATCACAGTTTCTTCAGCAATGTCTGTTGCTGGAACTGTTAATACTAAAAACATATTTGTACACATAAATACATTTATGTCAAGCAATATTTGCACTATATAGAATTCATACAAGTGATTTTATTAACCACAATAAAATGTAGACTTTCCCTTATGAAAACACAACTATATAATGAAGTGCACTATAAAGTCAGCATGGGGAATATTTCGCTGCTTGCATGCTACTAAGGGATTTTTAAATTCTTTGTTACTGAGGTCTAGAATATTTAGTTGTCAGTCTGGACACTACCGTTTTTCACAGAGTAAACAGACATGGAAGTGAATTACAGCAGTTACCAGTCTGTCAATTCTGTAACTTTTGTAGCAGACCACCTTTATAATGTTTCTTAAGCAAATACTAAATACAAAACTGGGTTTTTATTTTGATTAATTAGAACACCTTAGGTAATCTGAATATCCAGTAGTTATTAACCTTGAAGGAAAAAAAATAGGGATCTAAAGAAATTAACACTCTAACTTTCTCATGTAATCATGTGGCAAATGTCATAACTGTTACTTCAATTACTACCTACTCCCATTCATGCTTTCTGGTAACTAGCTGTACTTGTTCAGTCAGACTATGAAACAAATAATTTGTCTCCAGTGTACAACTCTTCAAGATCCACACTGAGAGTCCTCATGAAGAAACCAGAGAAGGAATAATTTTTATCTAAACAGCAGTGACAGAGCATCTTTAAAAGAAACCACCCAAAACACATGCATGTCACAAAACAGCACTTATTAAACTAACAGTTTCCACAAAGTATATACGGCCCAACAGGGCAATTTGTGTCACCCTGGCTCCACTGGTTCTGCCACTGTTCCTCTAAAAACCTCAAGCATGCAAGACTTGGCTTTTGTTCTGTTAAGAACACATTCCATGGGACTTGCATAGCTTGCTTCACGCATCAGGTTTCTAAATCCAAGCCTCACCTCCCACAGTATTTCCAGTCAGGCAACAGCTAAGTACTGGAAGAAGGCTTTCGTTTTACTTCTAGTTTTCATAAGAAGTTTGCAAGATTGAAATTTACTGAAGTCAAAGCAAGTAGTTATCACTCTTTCCTTAAATGTTCCATTTCTCTTCCATACAGTTTAGTAATTCTTCCATTCTTTTTCCTAATGCAAAGACTCAGCTGACATGTGCTAACTCACTATCAGTACATGTGGTAGCTCATGCATCTGAGCCTTTTACAGTCTGCGAATTCAAAGATGTATTGAAATTGACAATTACGTTAAATTGTCCAAGCTATTTGCACCTAACCATTTATTATTATTACTATAACTAAGATAGTTCCTCTAGCTCGAACAGTACAAGTTTCCACTCACCTTGTTGTCCATCTGGCATGGTCACAATGATTGGTTGCCCTATTCCACTGGTTGGAATCGAATGAAGATTCCCAAGCTGAATGCCGTCTGTAACTATAGTAATAACTTGCTGACCTCCAGAACTGACAACTTGCTGAATAGCACCATCCACAGATTCTGCAGTCACAACTTCTTCTGTGGCCACAACTATCAACAGATTAGTAAAGGGTTTAAGATAATTTATAAATTAAGCTTTCGGATTTCAAATGCATTTTGACTCTGCTGAGAAAAATTTCTTCCATGTCTTTCAAAATTTGATCCCTGCCACCCCCCAATTAATGCATTACTAGGTATTATATTGTTAACAGAATCTTTCACCAGGCCAACATAAAGCACTAACATTTTCAAATACACATGTAACCCTGTCCTGTTTATCTTGCTCAATATAATAATTTTTTGTTTAGCATGTTTCCTAGCAGATACATCCCACTCAACACTGGCACTTTGGGTTCAGTAACAACACGGCAGCAAGAACAAGAGTTGTTTTTAAGAATACAAATAACCTGCATTGTACACAAGCTGGACTAAGTCACATTAACAGGCAGAATTAAAAACCAAAACAAAACACAAACTTGAAACAGTAGCTTGAAACTACTCCTCAACCAGTGCCTTGCCAGGTGTACCTCTGGACCCAGCCCCAATTTCTCTGCTTACCATAGTGGTCTTCAAGATAACAACAGACTGAAGGACCTCTAGAGAATCTTAAAGTTTTGTCTGTACTACATGGGTACTTCAACACAAATTTATTTATTATACAAAGTATGAAACAGGACTAAAGGAAAAGTTCTGCAGAGTTGACATTTTTACACCTTTGAAGGAGAATGATAAAGCTTAAAAAGTAAAATAAATATTGTATGTATATAATTTCATAGGTAAAAGTAAAAATGAAATATCCCAGCTCAACTATTTCAAATTCATTATGCAACAATGAGTACACATAAATCAAGGTAAGATAAGGGAAAGATTGCATTCAGAACTACAACACATACCACAGCTTGAACTATACACTGCAACTGGGGTCTCACACCACAACCCTTATTTTTTAAATCAAGATACTGAGACAAAGAGCAAGATCACTAGTAGCACAATCAAATAATTTCAAGCACACTAACTTTGTATCTTCTTTTCAATTTGTCCAGGTAAAAGCAAAGCCTTTGATTTAAATAACAGAGATTAGAGTGCTTTCTATCTACAGAGATGAAATTAAAACCCTATAGAGTGTGTTGTGATGCTCCAGATGAGAGAACATCGATAAAACCCTGAAGCTTTCATCTTTTAAATTAATTACAATAGAACATACACAAAAATCACTCTGTTGTTCAAGTAATGACTGCAGTCATTGCCCTCTGAAGATCTTTATGTTCAGAGATTACTGTCCTATAGCACTGCTTAAATATTCACAGAGTGTTTATTCAGTAAACCAAAACAGTAAGTCCTACATGAGTAAGTGGTGTTGTATTGAACTTGATTCAGCTTCCAAGTAAAGCAAGAAAGACCATCATCACAAAAATTCCAAGTTGCAAGTGCCCATATTAACTGCAGTGGCAAACACCTCTGATCTTTCAGTTTCAAACTCAACACTGGGCTTTTAGTTCTGGAAGGAAACATTATTAGGACTTCTTCAGATGCTGAAAAGTAGATATTCCATATAAAATCCACCCATACTGTTCTTATTCCTTCTTTGTTCTCTCTGTTTCTATATCCATATAATCACTGGTTACTACACTACTTCATATGCTGAAGGAAAGGTGAAGTAATCTAAAACAGCAGCATTATTGTCACGGATCTCTGCATTAATGTGCATTTTTTCTGCAGCATGTGTGGGGTGAGAAGACCTGCACATGCAGTAAGACATCAGATTTTTCTCTAATCCAAGTTCCACACATGCATTATGCACCACGTTTGTACATAACGTCCATGTCCTCATATACACTTCATCTGAGTAACTATTAAAAAAAAAACATGGTTCGATTCTGCTCCAGTGAGAAGTACCTTTTTTTCTTTGGTTTTACAAAACTGATGTGTTTTTAACTGTAAGACACAAGGAACTAGAGGAAGGAGATCAGGGTAAAGAGAAGAAAAATTTAGACAGAAACAACATAAGAGGCAGAACCTAACTGCTTTGCCCAAGTTTATACAGTCTTAAATACAGGAGACTAAACACAGAATAAAAGCCAAAACCAGAATTCTCAATCGTACAGTTTTTGAGAGTATTTTTAAATGGATATTTACAAGACAGGCACAAAGAGAAGGGGGTTTTTTTTTGCTGTGGTTTTCTTCTTTCCTCTTTTTTCTTGAATACACTTACTAGTGATGCCCAGATGACAAAAGGCTGCTTTTGTATTCTTTACATTTTATAAACTATTAAAGGAGCAAACATCCAGGAAATAATTTGCAGACAGCAAGATGCTGCAAGATTGCCCATACATCCGTATAAAAATCAAAGCAGAAGAACTGAAATAAACAGGAGGGTTAGTTATGATGCACACTGCATTATTGAAGGTGGGAAGCTACCACATCAAGACTTCAAGCATATTCCTGCCTGTTGTCTCACGCCTCCACTCTAAAAATTTTTATCTTCAGTGGTTTAGTGGCATGTAACATAGGTTACACTGCACCACTGCAAGGCTAGGGTCATGAAACACGAGACCAGTTAGTTACCAAAGTCTACTACTGAGTCCTGGATACACATTTAATGCTCTGTAATCCCATGCAATCCCTTCTCGAGTTTCTTTCCCCTGCAATTAGATCTGAATTTCACTGGAATATATTAATTGATTGAACATACCATCAGCTTATTCTGGAACGAAAGGCAGTGCATTCTGGTTTTGAATCTTTCACTTTGCTTGCAGTATTTAAATGTCATAAAACAGTACGGCTGTACTTAGGTACTGTTTTGAGAAGTAGTATAAGAACAAAAGATATATTAAGTAGTCCTGCAGGACTTCAAAATATTTAAGAGATGAAAACTCTGGTATAAATTGGAATGTGGCTGTCATGCCAGCTAGTCTGAGAGTACAGGTCTCTTCTATATTTTCAGTGAAAACTCCGTCCCTAAGAATGTCATCTGTGGAGCTGAATTCTGGAGAATTTTAAGTGTCAAAGACTCTGGCCACGCAAAGTATCTCAGTTCTGTAAAATTTATCATACTGACCATCACCAACAAAAAAAGCAAAACAAATGCTTTTCTTTAGAAGTGTGTTTAGAAAAAAATCAGGGTACCATAAGCATCATAAATCCTTGATCAGAGGGCTGTTGCTCTCCATAGTGATCTCCATTCACCAGCTTTACAGTTAGGTTCACCTTACTGCATATCGCATCACTAAACAGCGCTCAAAATCCCAAGCTAACTTGGAAATAAAGCTAATAGTGCTACATGTCAGTGTAACAAATATTAAATAAACAAAAAAAGCAATCTGGCCTACCATAAAACTCCAGTAGCTACAGACATACCATACTGCCCAAGAAAACTAGAGAGCAATGTATGCAAAACAGCACTGAGCAGTTAAAGCATGCATGAAATACTTCACAGCTTTCTTCAGAAAGCCAGGTCTCCACCAAAACAGCTTTGGGGAGTCACAGAATAACACGTTTTAATTCGAGTACATGGTCTGCTTCAGAGACAAAACCTAGGGATTTCTGTGTGCCAAAGCTAGCTAACAAAGAATTAACATAGCACTCAACCTCCTAAGTGCTAGTTCTACATGATTTTTTTGTGTAATGGCAAGATATTAATATACACCTAACTGGAAAATATGGTCTGGAACAGAAGTTTAGTGGCATCCTCTTATAAAGTAACTTGCAATAGTTCAGAAGCTTTTGATCACAATTTAAGTTTATTGTAGATGCATTACAACTTGCTTAAATTATAAAAGGAGGTATTTTCCTGGCTTGTATCTCTCTCTCTCAAACCTGTTAGTGGTAATGACTAGTCTTTATAATCAAGTTTGATGCTGTAAGACTCACGACTGCCATTTCTTTCTTCACTTTGCTTGTTGCAATGAACAGAAGTGGAAAAGTACACAAAGTAAGCAACACACTATTCAGAAAGAATAGAGAAAGATACCCAGGGCAACTTGCAGAGTGTGAAACCCTGACCAAAGTTTTTTTTTTTCCAGACAAAGCAGTAACTGTCAAAGGTCCATGGGGCAGGGGTTAAGGGGTTAAGAAAGAGAAATGCAAAACTTGGGAACTAGGGGCAATGGAATTCTTTGTGCCTTTCTGGCTTCTTGTCATGCCTTATGAAGTAAGAGTGTGCATACAACTGCAGTGAGAGATGCAGGCTGCTGCTTACTAGGAGAACAATAATGTACTGCTAGGCTTACATATACCTGAAGTGCCATGACAGCATACCAGCCTCAGGTGTGACATACTAATCACTACATACTATTATAAATGCAAGTAGAATATCTCAATGTTGAAAAGATGACCCACAGACATTCTAATGGGCAAACTGCGCATTATGATCACCAAATACTTTTGTGCCTTTTGAGTGAAAGATTAAGAAAACTGCTGACAGAGTATACGCAGACAACATGGGGGCCATTTCCCAATACGTAACAGAAAGAAGCATTCAAAGAAAACATTCTCCCACCAAATGCAACTAAACTGTATGTAGACAAAGATGTAAATTCCATATCCTGAATTATGTTTGCTTTCAGCAAGATGAATGTTACTCACATTAGGCCCAGAAATACCAGTCGTGGCCAGAAATCTTACTAAGATATAATGGTACATATGAATCTGGCAACCTTCCAGGTGAAAAGAAGGGAAAAATTTTGTTCATGCTGAAAAAAGGAAGGAAGATTGTCATCTCATTTCTGTTTGAACTGTATCTCCAAAAATGCCAGTTCTGTACTTCAGGTTTATTAAATTAGGTTAAATGACTTAAGTTTTCTGACCTGGTGTTTCTGAAGAATTAGACAGTGGAGCTGATGCTTCTGCTAAAGCTGCCAATGTGGCTAATACTGACGTTGATGAATTTCCAAACTGTACAGCAGACACTCCTGTTTCATCTAGAAGGATGAAAGAAAAAAAAAATCTTTTTATTACTATTTATTTTATTACTATTGCACTGAAGCTTCTAACATACGCTGTTCTCAGCAACATTCTGCTGAGTCAAAGTGCTGTTCTGAAGGCAAGTTTGTTAAGCAAATACAGGTTCTGATAATTTGTCTCTGTGAAGACTGTTGTTTTAAGAACTTAGATATTTACCACACAAAAAACACCGAAGAGGAACGTGGTAACTATTCTACTCTTACCACTGTTTTTCCTCAAGTCTTTTCAATAGATGGTGAAAATCAAAAGTATAAAATCCCAGTAGGTATCCTATAGGCATCTAAATACCTGTTCCATTTGATGTATTTGCAGAAGATACCAGACCTGTTAGGTTCACCACCCCTCCAGGTCCAATGATGAACTGCGGTGTTGCTGCATGTATCGTGACAGTGTCCGGACTCTCTGGATTCGTATTGATTTGGTTCTGCATTGCAATCTAGGAGACAGAGGTAATAGTATCATTACAACTCTAGCTATAAAGATGTTATTTATCTTGTAAGAACTAGAATTACTGCACGTTCCATTCAAACAGGATCTCCCTCATCACACTCATGCAATATATATATATATATATATATACACACACACATATATACATATATATGTATTTTTACATCATGTCCCATTTTGTGTTCTGTTTAAGTACACAAGATACATTTTTGGGGGGCTGAAATCTAAAGACAAAAAGTCTGCTGAAGTGAAAGAGAACAATGACATACTGCTACTACTCCTTATCATTTATTGTAAACAAAGAGGACCATATAAAGAGAAGGTATGCAGGTATGCAAGCCCACCTATCTAAAATAGAGGGCTGAAAACCCAAGTGGCAGCTACATGCCATGACAATCAGCTCTAACAGCTTAGTAATTGCCATAAATTTTAGATAGCAGTCTTATTTTTGTCTTTCTTTAAATTATTATTGACTTTTCTTTACTATATCCTTTCTGCAATGAAGAAAAGGCTAAAGGAAGAGAAGTTCATACAATTCAAGATGTAGGGGAACAACAGATTTATACAGTAGCATAATGGTATTTTTCATTTGCTTTCTACTGTTTTCCCAATAATGCTTAGCACTTAATTTGCCTTTAAGAACACTACTGAAGAGTGAGCACACATTTCCATGGAAGTGTCTATTGTAAACCTGATCCTAATCACTTCAACAATTCAATTCTAGTTTTTCTAATTCAGGAAAAATTGCCATCTCTTCTCTCCTCTCCTGCTCTCAAATTGTTAGGAAATTAATATCCATACATGAAGCTCACAGAACACTAGAGTATAGTCAAAACATACTGTCAGAGTAGGGAGTTAAAGTCTGACACCTTGCTTGTGAAGACTCCATCTAGTTCGGTTCACTACAACACTCAAATTTATGAAAATAAAAGGATACCTATCCTTGATTTTGTAGGTGGTGAAAAACGTTCTTTGGCCAACTAATGCTTACTAACATTAATCTCATTTCTGTGTCATGAACTGGACTGGAGTTTAGCATTACCAGACAACATATGATCTCACTGCTGCTATATTAAAAACTTAAGTTTATCACATGTGTAAACAAGTACTTTGCTGCAAGTTCCCTTAATATCATGAATCAAAAGTTACCTGTAATATTTCTGCAAGGTCTTCATTTCCATTGTCTACCGCAATATCTAATGCTGTTTTGCAAAATTTACTCTGAGCATGAACATCTGCTCCATACTTTATTAAGAGTTCTACAACTTCTTGGTGGTTATGTTCAGTAGCCCAGTGAAGTGCAGTCATTTTGAGCATGTCCTTCGCATTGACATCAGCACCATGCTACAAACAAGATCGTTGCATAAACTATGTCATTAGGAGTATCTGAATTAAATAATGCTGGTCACAGAATGAAGCCCAAAATGTTCTTCCCCATCAGTAATGTCCTGTTATCTTACGTTTACAGATTTATTAAAAGTACTTCAATCCAACTACCAAATAAATTATTTGCCTCAAAGGATTAAAGACTCCCTAAAACATAACATGTCTTGGTTCCAAAAATTTGTTACTCACACAATGTCAAATTAGGAATCAGTCTTATTTTGAAACAGTTACAAATAATTCACCTAAAATTATGCTGATTTTAATACTAAAATAAATTGCTGTTTAACAGGAAAAGCAAAGCACCCAATGCACACAGTATAAATATTGACATAATTTCAATGTTGTTTTCATGACTAAAAGGAAATCGCAAATATTTGACCATAAGCCATTGTAATATCCCTGCTTCAGACCTTGTTTCAGCAGTCTTTACCTTAAGTAAGACTTCTACAATGCTGGCATGGCCTTCTGATGCTGCCATATGTAATGGAGTTCTGTCCACTTTGGTTCTGGCATCCCGACTTACACCTGCTCGCAGCAACACTTCTGTTGTTGAGTAGTGTCCATACTGTGCTGCTAGATGAAGTGGAGATGTTCCCAACTGTAATGTAATGGAAAAAGTGGAGTTTTAACAGATGTCAGTATGAAGTATTTGTTCTTATTCCGCAGCTATCAAACTCAGGTGTCAGGCCACCACTTCAAAATCATTTTCCCTTGCAGTCTCAAGGAAAGAAGCTGTCAGGGTTTGGGGCTTTTACAGAGTATGAAGAAAAAACAAAAACCAAACAACCCACTTTAATTCCCCTCCCCCCAAATAATCACAATACACTAAAAACAGTTCACTGGAAGCAACTTTGAGGTCTGTGCTGGTTTTTCTGTCTTTTGAGGTATGATATTTCAAGGGCCCTAATCCCATTTTCAGTGTTAGTCAACACACTATACCAACATTGGAAGAGACTTCTGGGAGTCACTTAAGTCCAACCTCCTGCTCAAAACAGAGTCAACTTGAAAGTCAGGTCACTAAGCAGATTAAAGCTTTTAAGGGTTTGCTAACTACCCTAGAATTTTAGGTACCTGACCTCCTTACACAACCTATTCAGAAACAGTCATCTCCAGAAGACAACTCAAAGCATCTATACCAGGGAACTCTCAGCTGCACGTTGGGACTGCTTTCTTAATTCAGACCTCTTAAATGCATAAACACAGTATCTAGGAATGTATTTGCTGCTTTCTCTCATTAAGGATTCCAAAGTTCATCTTAAAAGCCACCAGAATGAGTCCATTCACAGTCTGTTACTGAAACCAATAAGAGGTCATACGAAAAACCAGACAACTTTAACTTTGAATAAAGACATGAGATGATGTGACTGCAGAATTCCAAGAAGAAACTCTCAAGGCTTGCAATATAAATACTTAATTGTAATAATCCTACTTTCTTCTTCAGGTGAGAAAAGTAAGAGGATTTACCGAACACTGCAAAAGTTTTCATTACCCAATCCGTGGTAAAAGGTGCTCCATTTGCCATCAAAATGCGAACTTCGTCATCTTGACCTGCTCGTGCAGCTTCTAAAAGTTTCTTTCCCAAATCTACTAGTGACATCTAGTGAAGGTCATAAAGGAATACAAAGAAAAAATAACATTAATACTATTTTAAATACACAAATGCCACTTTCTAAAAATTATTATTTCTGAACTACTCTGAAAAGTTCAGAAACTGGAGTTGGTGTTTTAGCCACGAGAACAAGCTTTATTGATAGCAATAAGCAGTTTGATTTTTAGAATTACTTTTGTCAGCCAAACAGAACTGACGCTGGGGTGAAGAGTTCAATATTGCAATGCTGTAACTGTAGCAGCTACAAAGTTACATCAAACTAAATTTAAACTGCACACTTCTTACAGCAGAAAGTGGTTTAGAAGCGCTCACCTGATACTGCAATGTTCTGCAGCTTTGTCCAGCTTTCAGATGGTACTACACCATGGCTATGTCACATGCCTAAAGGCACTACATTCACTTACCCAAAATGCCTACACGTATTTATGAGATACCACTGTGTAAATGCATTTAGACAGACATGAAACAACACTTTTCTGACATCTTATCCATCACTATCACTTCATTATTTTTTACTCTAAAATATAAGTTCTGTATTCCTAGCTATAGAATGACACAATAAGTATATTATTGAACTACACACAACAGGTATATGAAGTAAAATATCTGCCCGAAAACAAACATTGCCTGCTTCAACTGCCTACGGTTTCTAAAACGTTAAGTGTAAAATTTTGAGACATGACCAAGATACTAGCTAAAAAAAACTTTCACATCATCTTTAGATACTCCATTTTACCACGCTCAAAGCTCCATATAACACAGAGCATGCAAAACAACAGGTAGACAAACGACACCTATCTATTTTCTGTTGCATCAAAGATTTCCTCATATAACATCTTTTTAAATCCACTTTATGTCACACTTCCTATTAAATCTGTTCAGTAAAGAGAAAATTTAGAACTAAACCACAACTCACACTACTAACCAAAATATATCAGTAACATTTTAGTCCTGTACCTATGTTTTCCACTACCAGGATGCTAAGAATGGAATTACTTTCATCAGTTCTGTTTCCAGTTAAAAGCAAAGTTAATCCTGTATTACTCATAACAGCAATTGCAAGGCCACGCAGTCTGTTTCCTACACAAAATTACAGTATATCAGCTCAGAAAGAAATCCCATTAAACACAAACTTCGATCACAAAACAAACATATTTAGAAAGTTCTCTGCACCTGGCTCAACTGGCAAAATCTGTGTGGTATATTGCTCAATCAGCTGAAAACTATTGACTTTGGAAGAAATTAGAAAGGAACACAGAAATACTGCAAATGCAGAACTCCAACACATATCAGTAGAGCCACAAACTGGAGTAGATTATCTCTTTGTCTATACAACTGACTGCAGGCAGACATATCCCCTTCACCAAAATCATATTCTACTTATGTCCACACTTCTAATACACATGGACATGTTGATTTGCCTCCAGCCAGTAAAGGGAAGACGAGCAGGAAAGTGGCAGTACAGGACAAATACTGACAATGGAAAAAGGAAGGAAGGAAAAAAGGAGCACAGAGTCAGATGCAGAGGAAGGGACAACAGCTGACTCTCTTCCATAATGAGAAAGAGCAAACAAGAAACAGGAATAAGAGAAAATCTACTATTTCTGTTAAAGGGAGACACTAGGAGTAATGATATAAAACAGTAATAGGACAGGGAGGCCATCTGACAAGTGCAACAGTGAAATGAAGGAATATAGTACTCCCTTTACAGGGGACCCCCTTTTTTTGTTTTGCAGGGGGGTACAATTTCAGAAGGAAAAGTGCACACACAGACACACACTTTTTCTGGTGGTCTAATACCACCACGTCAAGGTCCTCAGAAGCAAAAGGAAAGCTGGAACGTAACTGAAGTTAGGAACTATTTCAGAAAGACAATTCATTTTCCTTGTATTTATTTTTGCTTTAAACACCAGTAGAGAAAAGGAACTAATCAAGTCTCCTTTGGGAATTATAGAATATTTGAGGCTGGGGGGGGACCTCTCAAGGTCACCTAGTTCAATCTCCCAGTCAGAACTGGCCCAACAGGTTCAGGCTGCACAGGGCTCTGTCCTGCTGAGGTCTGAATGTCTCTGTAGATGAACATCCCACCATGTCTTCAGCCTTGTTCCAGTGTCCAACCACACTCAGCCTTCTGTATACACTTGTCTTTCTCCACTAACCAAAAAGACAGCCTTGATAACAAGCTTATACTTGATGTCTGTTAGACAACAAAAATAGGTGAATTAAATTACAGTCTGTACACTTATATTACAGTCTGTACACTTATAGTGTAGTATTTAAATGACCACATCTATACTGGTGAAATACGCTGCAAAGTTGTTACCAAAACCCTATGCAGCAAAAATCAAGCAGCAAAATTAAAAAAAATAATTATGGTGGCCAGCAAAATACAAGTCTCACTCCCAGGAGATGTTAAGGACAAACTTTAGCCTGAGATCAACACCTTTTCAGAGTCTCTCTGAGCCACTACTGTTGAACACACTGTCAGAATGACAGTACATCAGTTCTCATCTCAATGCAAAACTAAACAGCTCTGTACTACACCCACTAAGAGATATTCTAATCAATGAAAAAGAGGGACATGGAAGATCATACATGATATAACCTTCATCACCATGTATTACTTACATTAACCAACACTCTCTCGGTTGATATAAAGTGTTTGCATCTTAAACAAGCACAAAGCATCACAGAAGTTTACTTCGGTTTCATGATGTAAAATTTTAACTTCAGTTAAAATGACATGAATTTATTTTAGAAAGGAAGTAAAAGTTTTGGTTCTCATAGGGTACTTGAAAGCATGCTTGGGCCATCTAGTGGAAGAGAGTTAAAAACCTAGCAAAATTACTGTTGAACTCAAAAATCATGTTCCTAATGCACTAACAACAGCAACTGAAGAGGCCTTTCCAACAAAACTCATGCACATTTAGTCACTTTTAACTAACAGATACCAGTATTCACAAAATTTCTTAAGAATAGTCAATCCAAAGCTGATTTCTACTTGACAGACCATTCCAAGGACCAGCACTGTAAGGTCAGGAAACCTTTGAGTAATACCATGCCCCACACTTCCCCTATACTCTTCCACTGCTAGTACTGGGGCATATCAAGAAGGTTCTGCAGTGTCGGAATTTCCCTTTCTTCCCTTTCCAGAAAAATTCTTCAGCTGCTCTCTTGAGATCATTTAGTAACACTACAATAAGTACAGTGATACTATCAAAAGGTTATATATATAGTACAATAAAATATATTTAAAATTGAAATGAGATTTCCATTTCAAAGCAGCACACTTAGTTAAGTACTGCTGCCACTCCATGTAGTGTTACAAATGAACTCCACTGAACTGTGTTAGAGGGTACTCTCCAGTAACTGTCATTTCCATCAAGCTTGGCTAGCACAACAGCTAGGCAATGCTTTATAACAAGATTCTTTCAGACAATAAAAACATCATTGGCTCTGAAATAAAGTCTTGAGACTGTTATAGTTATTCTTATAGCAACCTGAGTATGTTTTCAGACTTCTAAGAGCTCCTACACAACTGTGTGAACAGAGAGTTTTGTCTATAATTGAATAAATAGGGAAGAGTTTCTGCTGGGTTTGGACTTCTTTGCATTAACCACCCCCGGAACTTCCACATTTCATTACTGCAATGCATTCTCTACAGTATCATTAGCCACATACCACAACTAGTAATTAAAACCTACATCAAATTATTCTTGCTATTTTACTTCTGTTCAATAGGAAATAATACCGCTTTTTTGTACACTACTTAATTTTTTTACATTCTATAAAACTCTGAACATCATGCTGTTACCCAAGGGATATGTAACAGCACTTGACCAGAGTCTAGGTGAAACTGTGCAAAATGGGCTCTGTGGAGAAGGAAATGAGCTGAAAAACCTGCAGCTTGGGAAGCCTGGGGTACCACATCACAGCCTACACAGACAAGAGAGCAGCAGAGTCTGCAACTCAAAGGAAGATTGTTTGGCTTAAAATATTGCAGCATCTTTCAGATTGGTGTCCTGCCCCAGGGATCCTGGACCCAGCCTTATCCCCCTTCTACCACTGCACTGGTCAACATCAGATGGTCAAAATTAAAAGGCACAAAACAGTTGTTGCAGGACATCTGCTAACATGAGATCTTGCAGCCGCCAGTGTATTTCCACTAAGGCACGCTCCTAAAAGAGACACACTTACACTAGAAAGGCATGGACTGAAGCAGTGTAATTTACTGGAAGGTACACTGAATCAACATACACTGCATCTATAAGGATTTGTGATCATTCCTAAAAAACCCAGGGCAAATTTCTAAAAAACCCGGGCAAAGTTCCATGAAATGCTAATTAAACAGGTTTCCCTACTCAAGTGACGCAGAGAACTGCACCAGCTTGAGACCCATCACCCATCATCTCTCACACACATTACATCTGGAAAAAGAATGCTCTTTTCAGAATGTCTTTTTCTTTCCACCATTTTAGAAAAAGATCCACATGCTTCCCCAGACCTGATCTTCAGAAATGTTGTCAGCGTACTGATTTCAACATTGCACGGTATTGCTAGAAACTCAGAATAGCAATTTCAAACTAATTTTATATGCCTATCCATACCAAGGTCAAAAATAAGTTGAAGTACAAAGAGTTAGCACTATTTAAATCGTTAATCAAGCAGTTTTGATCATTATTAGAATTGAAATAACAGGATCAACTTGCTTTTTTTTTTTTTTTTTAACATCCTGATGTAACAGAGCAATACCTCAACTCAGAACAACTCTTCAAAAAGTTTTTTATTTCAATTAGCTTTGTAACTTTTAAAGGAACTGGAAGGTCTGCATTAAACCTAGGTGTATTTCCATGTGCTAGGGTGTCTTAAAACCTGTGGTATGATTTTACTGTATATATAATTTAATAGTGATTACAGCAACATACACGGGGTAAACTCAAAAAGTTCCTATATTGTTTCCTAGAGGAATCATATCTTCCCAAATATATTTTGACAATGATTTCACATGTCATACTTCATATCTTAAAATAAGTATCATAGGCCTAGAGTATCCACACTTCTACTATGATAATAAAAATTACACTACGCTATTAACAACGGTCAGCTTTAATTCCAGTGCTTTCAGCTTTCCTCTACGATTGTGGTGTTTGTAACTAAATTCTCTCTAGTTTGTTTAAACAGCAACATGACCTTCATGTTGGACTATGTATGCATCAGATGAAAAATACGTGATCTGAGAGAAGAGATCAGAAAAGCAAACATATTGTTGAATAGCTTAGTGGTTAAGATAGTCAAGCCTGGATTTATGCAGGTCTGTCCTCCACTTAGGTTTGTACATTAATTTAAATTAGCACCAATCATCAGCATAACTCAAACAAAAAACACAGATGGTAGAAAAGTATTGTCCTTAAAAAGGAGAGCACAGACTTGGCCGTTATCTGCAACAAAATGCAATGTCTAAAAAACATTAACAGCAACAGGGGTGAGCCACTGACAACGACCAAGATTGGGGTTGGCACTGCCAACAAGCTACAAAGTTTTCAGAGGTAAATTTGGCACTAGGTATCAAAAAGGTTACATTATGGCAGCTGTGATTGATGTGAAGAACCTAAGGGCTTGTGATGTATCCTCTGAGCTGTACTACAGCCTTAAGAGTATTTCTCAGATTAAGTGGAACTTGAAAATACCCTCAAATAAACATCACCAGCCTAATTAAAGCATCCATTTTATTATGAGGAATCTCCCTCAACAGTTTCTGTCTAGCACACAGGCCTAAAAAAAGCCAGAAAACAAGCTGTTTTCAGCTAAGAAAGTGGGTCATGAACAAAAATCTACACCTAGGGTATGCTGATCTGCTGCGTACACTTTTAACCTTGTTTACACAGCAGATTAGGTACCCTCACAAATATTTCTCTGTGCATACACACACTTCAACCAAACTGCTTTGTCTTACTAATTTAAAAAAACCCACTGAAGTGCTCCAAGGTGTGCATTCGTAACTTTTAGCACATTTAATATGCAGCATCTGCCATTAAAAGCTGCTTTAATAAGCAGGTTAAAGGACAACATACAACTGGCTTTAGGTGAAAAACTAAGCACAGAAGACTTCCTACAGATTTCACCAACGTGCTATGAGGCAACATCAGAAACTACTTTGGCTACTAGGAAAGAAAAGAGAAACAACAGTCCGAACTAACACATCTTATCCCACGCTTACGCTCCCATCACACGCTTTATTAAGAGTTCCAAGCCAGAGTTACAGATTTCGGGTGAGAGTCACTGCAGGGGAGGGAAGCGCTCCCCGCCCCTCCGAAGCTGCCGCTCTCCTCAGGGCACCTTTGGCGCCAAGCTCCGGCACGCACCTCGGCCGCCCCGGGGCGCCAGGCCGTGACAGGAACGGGCCACCCC